GCAGGGTTTTGTATGGAGAGATCCCTGAGTATTCCAGCCACCAGCGTACCCATGATCTGGTGCTGACACAGGCTGGGACTTCTATCTCTCTCTACCTGGAAGAAATCCATAAATAAACTTCAGATTAAAATGTAAGCATATTGGGTCAAGTAGTTAAGGTGCTGGACTCCTACATAGCTAATTGTGTTTAGAGTCCTGGACCTGATGACTTGAAAATCTTAAGAGATTTTAATTGAATGGATGTGTGGAACTAATTGAGCATGGGTGAGCAGGGGTGGGGGTGTGTATCTCACCAGGTGATTCTAGTACTGGCTATAATTACTGCTATTGCTCTAAATCAGAGTTTCTAAGCCTAATGTGTACATACATCATCTGGGGCTCTTGGTGATTCAGATTTAGTACATCTGAGGTTAGATCTAATCCTCTGCATTTCTAACGTGATCCCAGATGATGCTGATGCCCTTTATCTCAGGTCACTGAACTAGTCAGTCTAAAAAATGTTTTACAAACAGACATAATTATATTAAGGCACTTTGGGGAATCTAACATTTACCCAACTCTTCCATCTTCTAACTGAAAGCTATTGCCTGAAAACAGCAACAATATTTTTAGAAAGTACCCTACAAACTGGAGAAGTTTTCCAAAATAATTTCAGTTAAGAAAGATACAAAAATAATGTTAAAACTGTCATAGGAACTTCAATGTCTCAGAATTCTATGAGAAGATACAAATTTTGAATTAAAAATTGATAGTAGGTGAGACACCCATTGTTGTTATGGGGGGAAAAAAAAAACACAAAAACACTAGAAATTATTTGCTTCTCTTCCCTCAGGACCTTTGTGTGACCACAGATGAAACGTTGTAAGACATTTCTTTTTGCATTCTTGAGGCTTCTGAGAAGTAATAAGAACCTTTATACATGGAGAAATTAGGTAAGTGAAATAACCGCTGGGACTTCAGTTCTAATTTACTCTTGGTAACTCAGCCTTGGATGGGATTCACGGAGCTAAAATTGGTGCTGGTCCTGCTCGAAATTTATATTCTAATTTCACCAAGTAGAAGAATTTGATGTTGAAGTCTGAAGACTCAAATCACTCTACTTCTTCTCATGTCAATTTCTTACTGAGGACCTCTCTCTCTTTTCCCCGTCAAAGAACTGACAGCATTTTTGCAAAAATAGATAGCATTACTATGGAGGGAAAAATAGCAGAAATCAGTGTTGAAACTAACTGAGTGTTGGGTATTGAAACTGATTAAGTATTGGGGATTCAATAAGGGATTGGAGCTGCTACAATTTTGCTGTCCGCTTCAATGGCTACTAGTCACATGTGTGTGTGTTGAGCACTTGAGACATGGCTAGTTTAAATGGAAATGTGAAGTAAATATAAAATATATATTAGATTTCAAAGACTTAGCACGATCAAATTGAAAATTAATACAAAGATGCCAAACAAATAACCCAACATTCCATCTTAAAAAACTGAGAAAAAGCAACTTAACCTAAAATAAGCAGATTGAAAGAAATAACAATAATTAAATAGAAATAAATTTAAAGAGAATAGAAAAATGTTATTAAAAATTTGGTTTTGAGAAATAATAGAGGCTACTAGCAAGTGATCATAGTCTCCCTGCTCCTCCAGAAACGCTCTATCTGGGATCTCCGTGGCTTGCCTGCCCACCATGGCCAACAAGGAAGCAACTTCCGTGGCTTGCCTGCCCACCATGGCCAACATGAAAGCAGTTTTTGATAATGTAGTAAGGAGAACGTGTGATCAATGAGGAATACAAAATATGGAAAAAACACTCCTTTTCTTTATGATTTGGTGATGACCCATGCTCTGGAGTGGCCGAGCCTAACTGTGCAGTGGCTTCCAGATGTAAGTAGACCTGAAGGGAAAGATTCCAGCATTCACTGACTTGTTCTGGGGGACACATAGCTCAGATTAACAAACCCACCTTGTGATAACCAGCCTGCAGCTCCCAAATAATGATGCTTAGTTTGATGCATCACACTATGACAGTGAGGAAGGAGAATTTTGAGGTTTTGGCTCTGTTAGTGGAAAATTGAAATAGAAATCAAGATCAACCATGGAGGAGAGTGAACAGGGCTCGTTATATGCCCCAGAACCCTTGTATCATTGTAACGAAGACTCCATCCAGCGATGTGCTTGTTTTTGACTATACAAAACATCCTTCTAAGCTAGACACTTTTTTTTTTTAAGAGAGAGACAGAGAGATAGAAAGCGAGAAGTCACCCCCCCCAGGGGGGATGGCCACGCTGTAATCCCTTCTCCTCCATACTCCTCTTGGGATCTTGAGACGCACGCACAGGTGCCCAGCATGAGTTTAAGCCACCTGGTCCAGGACTTGAACTGCGGTCGACTACGTGGGAGTCCAGTGACATAGCCATTACGCTAACTGCTGGTCCCAAAGATTATTTAATTTTATTTATTTATTTTTAATTTGCTATAGGGACAGAGGAAGTGAGAAAGTATGCCACCAGGTCCAAGACTCAAACCACGGTCAGCCATGTGGGAGTCCAGTACCTTAACCACCATGCCACCTGCTGGCCCTTAAGCTAGACACTTCTGTAGAGTGCAACCCAGACTTGTGTCACTGTGGACACCAGAAGGAAGGCTATGGACTTTCTTGGAACCTGAATCTCAGTGGGCACTTACTTAGTGCTTCCCATGACCATACTATCTGCCTGTGGGACATCAGTGCCGTTCCAAAGGAAGGAAAATGGTGGATGCAAAAACCATCTGCACAGGGCATACAGCAGAAGTGGGAGACGTTTCCTGGCATCTGCTCCATGAATCTCTGTTTGGTTCAGTTACTGATGATCAGAAACTTATGACATGGGATACTCATTCAAACAATACTTCCAAACCAAGCCACTCAGGTAATGCTCACACTGCTGAAGTGAACTGCCTTTCTTTCAATCCTTAAAGTGAGTTTATTTTGCCACAGGATCAGCTGACAAGACTGTTGCCTTGTAAGATCAGAGAAATCTGAAACTGAAGTTACATTCCTTTGACTCACAGAAGGATGAAATATTCCAGGTTCAGCGGTTGCCTCACAGTGAGACTATTTTGGCTCTCAGTAGTACTGATCACAGACTGAATATCTGCGGTTTAAGTAAAATTGGAGAGGAACAATCCCCAGAAGATGCAGAGGATGAGCCACAAAAGTTGTTGTTTATTCATGGTGGTCACACTCCCAAGGTATCTGATTTCTCCTGGAAACTCAACGAACCTTGGGTGGTTTTTTCTGTACCAGAAAAAAAATATCATGCAAGTGTGGCTGAGATATCTAAGAACATTTCTAATGATGAAGACCCTGAAGAAAGTGTGGATCCAGAAGGACAAGGGCCAAGGTATGTCTGCACTTCTTATGATTTTAAATTCCTCCATTTTTCTGCTAAACATGAGATTGGTTTAACACTGGTTTTGAGACATGTATTAGACTATCCCGCTATGAAACGAATCACCAAAAATACTCTTAGCTCAAACAGTGAGTGTTTTCTCAATATAAATTGGAGGGTTTAATTTAACAAAATCGCAGATTTTTATTTACTTTTCTTCAGGAATTTTCTAGTAACAAACTCAGGTCTAAAGTAGTCATAGAGAGGAGAATATTATCTGTGATTATGTTTGTTCTGATCCTGTATCCCCAAGTTTTTCAGACTCATTTAAATAAATGCTACAGTGAGTAAGGAATAGAGTCAAGTAATGTAGGTGTGTGACTCATAAAGTATAGATACTGCAAGATGACATTCTTACTCAGGAAATATGGGAGATTCAAGCCATAGATTCCTACGCTAAAAACCTTCATAACTGGACTTCTAGGGTACACATTTCCTGGTAAAATAGGCTCCTTGAATTCTTCAGTTAAGAAAACTACATGTTCTTCTTTGTCCATATATATTTGCTTGTTAGTGTATTTCTTGAGCTGTTTTCATATTAATTCTTTCTTTTCTGTGAAATGGGTTTTCTTGCTTTTGTTTTTAAACTTGAGACCACCAAGTTGTAAAGACATTTGTTTTTACCTGACACCTATATCAGTAGACTATCATGTTGAAGAGAATGAGTCAATAGCTTCTATTTGTTTTTTAAATTAAATTAACCCTTGACAAGAGATTTTTTTTTTTTTTTGAGTTAGTCCTAGACCACTAGTCTAATTTCATTTCCATTTTGGGTGACCTCTCTCACCAGCAGGCCTGTTGCTCTCCATAACTGACTATGTAAGTATTTATAGTGAAATAAATTGCTTTTCTACATTAAAAAACAGTTGGTTTTCAAAGGTCAACAAAACTGGCAAAACATTAACTTGAATAACCAAAAAATAAGTAAAATGACTCTAATAAAATCAGGAATGAAAAACAGTAAGTAATTGCTGACTTTATAGACATAAGAAAGATTATAAAGAGTATTGTAAAGGACTGAACGTCAGCAGATTACATAAACTAAATAAAATTGTCAGATTTATAAAGATATATCAATGTTTCAAGGTTGACTGAAAAATTAATAGAAATTTTAAATAATTTTTTAAAAATAGTAACGGTCAGCTTTGTAGCCTAGCAACTAAAAGAATCCAATCCCACATGGCTGACCACAATTCAAATTCCCGGCCCAAATGCTTGAAAAACATGCTGGGTACATGGAAGTTTACAGATTTAAGTCTCTGGAAAGCTCCCTGAGTATCACAGGTGTGTGTGTGTTCATAATCAAGGCTGGCTGACACATGAGTAGATTGCAGCATCAAGACCAAGCAAAGGATGCTGAATCTCTTTTTGAATTTGTTTTTCTCACTCATGGAATATATAAATTAAAAGAAAAACTTTTTAAGAATGTTAAAAAAATTAAATTTGAATTGAAAAACCTACAAATGGAGAGGAACAAAAGTCTCGT